TTGGCAAGCTAAACATGATTGACATCCATGCTTAGCTTGAGGGGGAGTATTGGTTCGGTTGGTTTAGTGTTTATGTTAGTCTTATTTATGTCTTAAGTTCTTAGTTATTGGGCCTAAACTTGTTTTATTCTTTTTTTATGTCTAGGTGTCCCATCACTAATCAGGGGCATTCTAGTCCATTCTTGTAACACTACTTTGTAAACATATATAAGATTGTAGGGCCGGCTGAAGTGAGTAAGCCGCCATTCTCAAATCTCCTTCTTCTTCTTCTTCTTCTTCTTCTTCTTCTTCTTTGGCTGCTGTTCTCCAACAAACAGTCTTGTAATTTATCCTTAGCATCCAACAAATCTTTAAAGTAGATGTGCGTTTCTTGTTTCTCATGGAAGAGCTAATGTCTGCCCAAGTGGCCAGTACCACCCTTGCTATTGAAGCTAAAGTTAATCCTACATTTTTGGTAAACGACCCTTTTTCCCTTCCCCTCAAACCTCCTCTATTTTAAATATTTTCCAAATCAGGCTAGTGAACTTAATGTTGGAGAATTAGTTTCGGGAGGAGCCGACCAGTTTTTTTTTTCTTTTTTTTTAATTCTATAAAAAAAAAATTAATTTAATTGCACTTGCCCAGATTACCGGTTCAGAATCTTAACTCGATTTCAATGGTTGAAGCCTCGAAGTCTCTCCTAAATTGCTAAGTGTATGAGAGACTGAGACAGTATGAGAGTTGAGAAGAGAATTGCTGAATTGGTGTGATGAGAATGGTGGAGGATAGTGCTATGTATAGGAATTGAAAATAATTCAATTGCCCAAAATACCTTAAAAACTAGCCATTTTTTAGTTGTTGGGAGGGTATTTTGGTCATTATAAAGTCATTCATCACTTTACTCAAATGCCTCCAAAGTCCTAAACTATCTGTTGGAGGGGCATTATTGTCTTTTTCTTCCCCCAAAGTCAAAATAAATAAATACCCCCATATAGCTGTTTATAGGCTTATAGCTGTTGATTGAGGGGGTATTTCTGTAAAAAACCCCTAAAAAAGATGAAACTAGCTGTTGGGAGGGGGGGTCCCCAAGGGCCCCAAGGGCCCCAACGGCTAGTTTCTCGGACGGGCTGCACTCGGTCTCGGTCCCATGGGCCGTGCCATGCCACGTGCTGGGCCATGCCGGCATGCAGGCCATGGGTGGCACAGCATGACTGTGCGTGATGTGCTGGCCCATGGACCTGAAACCCCCAGCCCAGCACCACGACCCGCGTATGTTACACCTCTAACATCAAGCTATCAATTGGTGGTTTTTGCTTCTTTGCATGTATATATATATATATAGCCATTTATAGACCATCTTTACACTGTAATTCACATGTTAGTGTTTCCAATTTTTATATGCAGATATTGCATACTGGCACTATGCAATTTGAACATCCAATAATCTATTTCTGTGTAAACAGATCGCATTATCACAAATGGCCACATATTTGTAATCTTCACATGGGTGAGTTCACGTTATAGTCCCAAGGATTGTCATGTCATGACCAACAGTCACATTTTTCCCATCTTTCATGGCATATGAGATTGTGTTTGGTAAACCATCAATTGGTGGTTTTTCTGCCTTGCATGTCTTTCAGATATATGTTAAAATCATTTACGGATCATTATTACACTCTTAACTCTCATCATGTCAAGACATTTGTTCCTCAATGGTAATTTGCTTTGTAACCAACAGGAACCAGATAGGTTTGCTGCAGCAGCTGCAAGAAATCCAGTTTGTAATCTTGCATTGATGACTGGGACAACCGATATCCCTGATTGGTGTTTTGTGGAAGCTTGTGGTACTGAGGGAAAAAATTACTTTACTGAAGCACCTTTGGTTGAACACATAAATCTCTTTTACAGCAAATCACCTGTTTCCTACCTCTCGAAGGTATGTTCCACAATCATCTCTCTATAACATTAGAAGTTTCTTTGAAAGTCAAGTTATCCACTCTAACTAGCTGTCACTGGTAAGAAGTTTGAGGAAAATAATTGAAAATGAGACTAAAAGGACCTTTAATAAGAACCGATAAGAAATATCTTCACAATCTTGAATTAAGAAAAAAAAATATTAAGATAAAAGAACTACTTATTCTTTTCATAAATTGATCAGTTTCTTGAAAATCCATAATGATTGACCAGACCATGTAGTAGTAATTAACCTCCATCAGCTTATTTATTCTTGCAGGTCAAAACACCAACCCTTTTTCTTTTGGGTGCCCAGGATCTTCGGGTTCCAGTTTCCAATGGATTGCAAGTAGGATTATGCTTTCTCTTCTTTAACATATGGAATAAGTGGCTATTATAGATATTAGCTCTTTACTGGGTATCTGATGACCATTATTTTGTATATCTGGCTTGTTTAAGTAAAAGTTCTTGCAAGTTATTGATACTTTGATAGTCAATACAATAGATAACCTTTAATGCATATTTTGTTTAAAGTGTTGTTTTTGGGAATGCTTCTGATATTTGATATCTGTACTTATATAGTATGCTAGAGCATTGAAAGAGAAAGGAACCAAGGTTAAAATAATTGTGTTTCCCAATGATGTTCATGCAATTGATCGGTAAGCACCCGTTCATCCAATTGTTGTAAATGATTTAATGTTTCTCTTTATGCCAGGATCTGAAGTATGTTTCTGTCATGCAGGCCACAGTCTGACTTTGAAAGCTTCCTCAACATTGGAGTCTGGTTTAAGAAGTATTGTAAATGAGCAGACATTTCTAAATTCTGGTCCATATTTTTAGGAGACTTGCGGGATGCGACTAAGTTTGGAAGCTACGATTGTTTATGCTTAAGCGCATTTAAATCCCATTTCTGCAAGATTCTAATATTCTACCCACAAAAAAACTGTATTGTCTTTTTTCTTCCTTAATAACTACATTGTTATGGGCCTTGTGGCAATTAATATTCTATGGAACACTATAGATAAGGAAAGCATCCTCTTGCATGCTAGATCAGTATTGAAATTAAGTTAATAAATTTGAAACAGTGGATTTTGGGAAAGACTCACATTGACCCTCGGTACTTTGGATAAAGTTCATTGAGTAATATAAAGGCGAGCTAGAAAGGGTATGTGATGTGAGGAATGTGGTCAAAACTATAGCACGATTATAATCAGATATCATTGGTGAGATCAGGGTTGGGTAACTGTAGTGTCATTCAGAATGAACGGTCTTAACATTAGTGTTGATCAGGGAAATTGTAAGAGAAGAGCTAAACTACCACGCCCGCTGAACAACACTAAAATGATATGAGACCGGCTCCTCAACTCAACAGCACCAATGATTTCTACTTTGGAGCGTGTTGGCTGATGTGTATTGGTTTGGTTTTCAGGGTCGCCAATACATTAACAATTAGGATAAATAGCGAATGGCCATGTTTAACGGAAAATAGCCTTCCCAGAGATCTGATCCAAAGCTTGCACCATAAAATGTTTTCTTCTATACATATTTCACCACTTTGAATCGCACAATTACGTATTGTGTATATTGATACTAGTACTTTGATGATTTCCAATCTCTTTCAGCGAGAGGTGTCAAACTTGGGGGGTCTTGTAATGGCTACAGGCTCCATGGTCTACGATGATGAAAGGTGTCAAACTTCCAATTGGGGAATCATATTTCAACGTCCACTATCACATCATGTTGCTTTATTCCAAAGATGTAGAATTTTTGCCCAATGTTTCATGTTTTTGTTAGACAGTCTTTGTATGCCCTTATTTTCAATTAGAATGATGTGCTTTTGACGTTTATTGTAAATGAATAAAGTGCATATTTGATTCATGTTCTTGTGGTTTGTTTCTGTGTTATACCCTTAAACTGGACACTTAATGAGAC